CCAGGAGCCTCCTCAAATCCTTTCCCGGCTCCTGGTCCTTGCCATCTAGACTTTGCTCCCTCTGTTCCTGGCTCCTACCCTGGAAGCAGGAGAACTCCTAGGGCCCAGAGAGGCAGGGCAGCAGCCCCCAACCTTAGAGTACACAGAGCCCCCCTGGACATATTATGGTGCATTTAACCCCAACCCAGAATACAGCCAAATGAAAGAAGGTACGCATTTACTCTGAGCCAACTGCAACCCAGCTCAACCGTGTTCCAAGTCACATACAATAGGTTCTGGCTCTTATTTTTTATACCTGAATGGACTTGGCAATGACTTTTAAAAAATAAAATATATTAACTGGTTCCCATTGCTTTCAGTATAAAATCCCCTTTGCAATGCTGCTTCCTCTTCCAGTAATATCCTCCCCTACCCCTTGCCCCCACCTCCCTGCAACTGTAGGTTGCAGTCCAGCTGGGCCTACCTCAGAAGAGCTCCTAGTGCCTCCTGGTTCTCCTGTCACCTCCTACCTCTCCTGTCACCCCAGCCCAATTTATAGAGCTTGTTAACCCCCCCATTCTGCATGCACTCCTCCCCAAACCAGTGAGGAAGGCACCATTTCCCCTGCCCCTTCCTGACAGCAGGAACTGGGTCTCTTCTCTCTCCCTTTCCCAGCCCAACCCAGCACTTGGTAGGCCCTCAATGAGAACCCATATCCTGTAAAGCTTATGAGTTTGAATTTGGTTCAAACCTCAGTTCCACCACTTTCCAGATATTGACCTTGAGTAAATCATTCAACCTTGTAAAAAATAAATAAGGATAATAAGATGTTGGCCAGGATGCTGCCCCAGTTCTAACCACTGGACTCTACAGCCTCCCATTCTCAAGTCAAGGATTCCACATTCCCTTCCCATGTACTTCCCCTAGAGATTCCCATCTCCTGCGGGCCAGGACTGTGCCATGTTCCTTCCTTTTTCACACAGCATCAGGCACCATGAGGCACACAATTAACAGTGGTCGCGTCAAATTCCAACAGGTACCTCCAAGAAGCAACTAGATCAGACCTGACACCCAAGATATGACCTCCAGTGAGAAGCCAGGCTCAGAGAGAGGAACTGTGAGCTGGTGGCGAAGGGTGAGGGAATGAAAGCAGAGAGGAGATGAGCAGAAGGTGGAGGTGGCAGGGGCAACCTTACCTGTAGGGAGCACAGATGGTTTCTCCCATATTGTTGTTGATATCTGGCTCCTTCGTCAAGTGTGACTTAGCTTGGAACAGGAACTTCCAGAGATGAGCCATGTCTGTTGTTTTGCAAAGCAGGTCGCTTCCCTGGATTTAAACTCAGAGGTTCTCTCTGGGGCTGAGGAAAAGGAAGGAGATGGTGACAGAAGATTGATGAAGAGTTTACAGAACTGGGCCTTCTCAATAGGGTTGGTTTACTAACGAATCATACAAAAGCTAACAGAGGTCTGTATTGTTTTACTTTTATTTGGTGTGTGGAAGGTGTGCGGAAGAGGGGGTAGTCTTATACGCGAGTATATAACAAACTCTGTATTT